CGGCCAAAATTCTGGTAAGTCACACTTAAGAATGTTGTTTCCACAACTTAGAAAAGAGAATAAAGCAATGGAATATATTAAAGGAACAATAGTTCCTTAACTTTCACTTTGGAAATGAGCAGAATCTTTCGTATTAGAAGCCTGTGATGCTTTATGACATTTAAAAGTTACAAACTAGGTTGTAGCTTAAAACTAACACACAGGTCGGTTATGAGAAAAGTGTCCGCACATCCTGGTTTGCTGGGAGACTCCCAGTGTACGCTGTCATCACGGCATAGTCATTAATAGCTTGCACCCTTTAATTTTCAAAAGCAAACTGGTGTGGGCGATAAATTACACTGTCACTTAGTTATACCAAGTTTTCAACTCATGAAACTTTTATTCTTTCAGCTGGCAAATCTTGGTTTCTTTGGTAATAAGTACCAAGCTTTGTTAAGCAACAAAATATAAATTAATCTCATGGCTATAAATTTAGGAATGGCTTGGGCATATACTTCAGCGGTGTCACGCATACACATTCTAAGAACTACAGCCAGTCCATCTGCTTCTAAATTTGGGTCGTGTAGCTCTTTCTAACTCTGTATTCCCTGATGCCTCATTCATTCACTCACTCAAGTGGTTACTGAGTGTCTACCCTGTGCTGATCTCTGTGAACCGGCTGGGGAGAAAGTAATGGAAAGATCCAGCATGTCACACAGATCTCACAGTTCCTCTTATTTGAATTTTATAGAACTTTATGGCTGATGTAGAGTTTTCTACCTGGTTGCTTTCTTGAGACTCATTTTGTCGGATTCTCTCCAAATGGGAGTCTTTATGCAAAATAAGTTAGTAAATTTTTTTTGTGCTATTTTTGAATGTGCTTTAATAACAATGGTGAGAAAAACCACAGGTTTACACCAGTTGTCCCAGTGTAATTTATCACAGTGAGGGAAATGAGAGTCCCATAACCACCAGATGGCATTTCTCACCACTTAGCTAATAAAGAGGATTCATGGAAACACCAGGGGAAAAAGGTTTTCTCAGCCATTGCTTGAGGAACATCCTGTGTTAGAATGAATCATTCCAAGAAATGAAAATGATCCAATAGAGTCCACAGCCTGACATAATAAAAGACTTAAGTCAATGCTGAAGAGTGTGTGAGAACTGCATACAATATTTAAACTCCTCTAATACGGTCCCTCTACAAGCGAAGGCCTGGGAAAGGATTACAGAAAGCAATCTTGCTAGGTTCTAAAAGCTTACTTTATAAACTGTTCCCAATTAAGGGAAAGCAGTCAAGGAACGCTAAAACTAGTGACTTCTGCCATACAAGTCTCTTCTTTCTCTATTACAAGTGCTATTAACACTATTAACCTTCCTATAAAATTCACTGTTCCATACACCATTTATCATTTGATACTATTGCTTTTTACTTTTATAGGTACAAACCTCAACTGGATCATGCTCTACTTTAGGGACAAAACCCATTTAAAACTTCTTTCAAGTCATCTGCGTTAGCAGCAAGCAATGTCTCATGGTGTAGCATTGCCTAGCCCCACCACTCACTGCCTGTGTGGGAGAGTTCCTTCTCAGATTCTCAGCTTTTTCATCAGAATTTATTTATTCATTTACCTAATTATTTATGCAACATCCACTCTGTGCCAGGGACTGCTCTAGATTTTATAAACAAAACCAAGAAAAAAACCCTCCCCATAAAGAATACCTAGGGGGAGACACACAGGCAACAGACAAAATACAGTACATTAAGCTAGACAGCAGTAAGTGCTATTTACAAATAACAGAAAAATACGAGAAGTGTTAGAAGTTGCGGTAGGGGGGTCCATGTGAAATTCTGAATGTGGTGGCCTAGGAGGCCTAAATAAAAAAAGTAGTATTTCAGGAAAGACCTGAAAAAAGTAAGGGACACACCATGTGAATGACCTGGATGAAAATTATTCGGGGACAGGGAAGAGTGGGAACAGAGCCCTACGGTAGGAGGACCAATACCAAGGAGAGCAAACAGGGTGGCCAGAACCCAGCGAAAGAGACAAGCAGCAGAGGGTGAGGTCAAAGAGAAAACAGGTATGTGGTGTTTGCCTTTACTTAGAGTGAAATGGTCTGCTACCAGAGGGTTCTGAGTGGAAGACATGATCTATTGGACTTACATTTTGGGAGTGTCACTCTGGACGCTGTATTGAAACACACTGAGGAGGGGAAGAGTGAAAGCAGAAGACCAACCAGGAGGCTGCTGGAACAAGCAGCCCAGGTGAAAGGAGACGGCGCCTGGTACCAGGCACTGGCAGGGATGGACAGAGAAGTGATCAGATTCTGTACATGTCCTGAAGACCTCATGAGGTCTCTTTATTGTTTAAATGTGGGATGGACTGTGACAATAAGAGAAGTTGAAGAAAATTCCAAAAATTCTGGCCCGAGCACCAGAAGGATGGAGCTGCGACTAAATGTAATGGAGAGCATATATGTGGGTCCATAAAGCCTAAAATATTTATCTGGTTGTTTCAGAAAAAGTTTGCCAGCTGTTCTATAGTATTCCTCAATAAATTACATGCCCACCTTAGAAGGAAGCCAAAGTTAGAATTTTTTAAAAAAATCTTTCCCCTGATTACATCATCCATTTGCCCTTTCACAGAGAAACCTTCAACTTTTTGGCCATTCCCCAATCCTGGACTTTCCCCTGGTAAGAAAGTCATTTCAAGGCATTGCACTTGGCAAAGCTTACCTTCGGGAGTACTGCCTTTAGGGAGTCCAAAGACCTGAATGAACTTCTAAAATCATGTCCCCACTCAGCAATACAGTGAGCCTCATCCACAGCAATAAGTGTGATACCTATTAAAAAAAAGAGAGAGAGAGAGAAACAAAACAAACAAACAAAGAAAATATATAAATGAGGAAAATAAAAACTGAAGTTCAAAAAAAAGTAAGTCATCTAAATCATTATCACTGTCTTCACTTAAAACATATAAATCTAATAGGAAGTAAAATACATAATTCAAATCAAAGTATTTGGTTCATATAAAAATATAAGCATAAATAACATGAGATAACACCAAAAATCATTATTGAGAATAGATGAGGGGAGATATATGGATAAAAGGCATACGGATAAAAAAAGGAAATACATATTTTTCAAACAACATCTTTATGGAATTTCGGCTTTCAGCATTATTCTCCAGAGAAATTAATTACTTCCTATTACTATGTCCTCAAAGCTATCACTCATCTGCAACAATAAAGCCCTAAAAAAAAAAGAGCTGCTCTATTTCTGTTTGGTAATACTTTCAATCTTATCTCATGGATTAGCTATCAAAGAGACGAAGTCAGGACATTTCTACCTGAGATTAAATGCAACACTGTCCATGACTGATCAGATATTATATTGCAGAGAGTTCCTCTGAAATGTCAGTTTTGGAAGACAAAATGATATCCACATTTTCTAATATAAAATGATAAGGGAAGAACTAAATCTCATTATGTACAAAGTAGGTAAGAAAGAACTTCTTCCCCCAGCAACCCCTCTACTCCACCCCCATGCCACACACCCACACTGAAATGGAATCAATAGTGTACAGTAATGCCTTTCAGAAAAGGGCTTTATTATATAACCATCCATTAAAATGTCTTCAGATGTTTCAAAGTAATGTCAGTAATGCTTTTGCCCTCGATTACCAAATACCAATACTTAAGACAAAAATAATTTTTCCTTCAATGGGGATGATCTCTACTTGATACTTAACTGAGTGTTTACAAGGTGTTGCCACTAGTGGCGAGATTAAAAACATGTGCTCCGGAGTCAGATTACCTGCATACATAACCTGGGTTAGCACTTATATTACCTTGAGCACATAACTTAAGCTTCCAACTGCCAGTTTCCCACAAATAAAAACAGATAATAAAAGTGTCTAACAATTTTTAGTTACTCTGAAGATTAAATTAGATCATTGACATAAAATGCTAAGATAGGGCCTGGCATAAAAGTTCAATAAAATTTAAAAGTATTATTATTGTTGTTGTTGTTTGTTGTTATTAAATGCCCACTATGTTCCAAACATCTCTAGAAATAAAACAATTAACAAAATGCAATCCATGATCTTGAGGAGCTCAAAATTCTAAGAGACAGATATGCATATAATTACAATTCGTCGAGATTACCAACTACAACAGAGTTGGAAAAGAAAGAAAGCAAGAAAAAAAAAAAAGGAAGAAAGAAAGGAACCTACTAAATACGAGCAAATATGGTTTGATTCACATCAAAATTCTGTTTACTGCTGAGTGGCTGGGAAAAATTCAGTGTTATCACTATACTTCTTCAGCTTTAGAAATAAAATGACCCAGATTTTAAATTAAATAGCTTAAAACAAAGATGATAGCTTCCTCCTTTATATTAAATTAAAACCTTCCGTAAAACTATAGGTCTGACTAACTGGCTTTTAATGGAACCAAACTTTGTCCCTTGCAATCAGTTTAGGCAAGCATCTTGCCAACTTCTGCTTTAAATATGCAAGTTCAAGTGTCTGCCCAGGTCCCGTACATATTTCATTTTGGCACACCTGCCATTTCACCTAACATTTTTCCAAAGTTACAAGACAATTACAGGAGTCTCTACATAAAATTCTGTTTGCTGCTTCTGTTATAAACTCATACTACTTAAATAGTAACACTTATAAAAATCATAAATCTGATTAGCTAAATGTCAGACTACTGTACAAATAAAATTCTTAGTATAGTCACTCTTGCAAGCGTTTTACAATTTCCTGCAAACAAAAACTAAGTTAAAATATTTCACAAAGATATTATCTTATTTCATTCACTATTGACAGTCAACCAAAAAGAGCATTTTCCTCCATCTTCCGCAAGAATATTCAGCTAATAATTGTAGTGTTCATAATTTAATCAATTACAAAAAATAAAAATAGAGAATTAGTTACCTGTCAAAAGGATCTAAGTAAATTCTGAAGTTAATTATTAATTAACTCTATCAGAGAAACAAAGCAAACACTAAAATGGAACAAAACATATCCAGACCACTATGGACTTAGACCCTAGCTAGCTTTTGTGATAAAACCATAGAATTTATATAGCTAATGTTATTGGGCTTAATCTGAAGTGAAATACAAGAACTTTATACAACCTAAAATGAGACACACCAAATTTGCTTTCCATTAAAGGCAAAAATATAATATGCCAATAAAGGAGTTAAACAGCTGATAGACATACTTTCTGATAAATATTTAATCAAATGTTAATTTTTACCTCCATTCTTTTGTTGGTATTTAACACATACTAACTAGATATATATTTGTTTTCATTATATTGTTAGAGCAATTGTTAAATGCTTTCCTAGAGTTATATGCAAGTAACAATTAAATGAGATGTTCCAATGTTAAAAACATTACATATTAGGAATTATTTTAATGCATAATTATACAATGGGATCATATTATATAAGAAAACTAAGATTAGTTGGTTCTACTGAATGTTTGAAATATGTGCATTTGGAATAGAAGCTGTGATTGCAACTCTTGGATTACTAAGTCTAAATATCAAGAAGAAAATAACAGACAACATTTTTTAAGTACAAAAGAAAATGGTGCCAGCTTTTGCTATTTCTATATTTACATTTTCTAGGAAATAGTCTCTGACTTATTATCTATTTTTTTCTAATTAGTCATACTTCCTGGTAGCAAATAATCAGAGGTATTGGGGTTTCCAACCTGAATCGCCTGTGAAAAAAATACAGATGCCACAGACTCACCCCAGGCATGTTAAATCACAATTTTCAAGGTTGGAGGGACCTACATTTTTCTAAAGAACAAGGGTAGAAAGCCACTATATTGATTTAATTTAGATTCAGAATATGAAAAAAAGGAAATTATAATTTCACAGAATCGAAGCTTCAACATTCATTCAACAATACATTTAAATGCCTCCTATGTGCCAGGCGCTGCACTAGGGAAATATAAATAAATAAGAATGGTATTTGTCCCTGAAAAGTTTATAGTCTAGCAGAAGAAAACAGTTACAGAAACAGGTAATTAGAATGCAGGAGCCTGATTGCTATAGCAGAAGGAATTATAGGGTACTATGGGACAAGATGGGAAAGACACCAAGTTGGAGAGGCAGAGGTTACTTGGAGGAGACAACATTTGAAATAAACCTAACAGAAGTGAAATCAAGCATCCATCCATAAGTTTAAACCATATCTCAATTCAATAAATACTTACAAAGATCCTGTCATACCACTTACCGATATTAGCCTCAAGTTGCTGAAGTAGGTTCAAGTTACCCGCACAGAATTCTGGAGTTATGTATACAATCCGATATTTGCCTCTACGAAAACAAACAGGAAAGGAAATACAGTACAATTAAAGAAACAGTCACCCTACTGGTGTGTATGTAATATTTATATGCATGTATATGTTAGCAGATATACACACATACTTTTGTGTGTGTCTGAGATACTAATCTCGTTAGGAATTATGCCACAATAGGATTGGTGGGGCAAGAGATCTAGAATCCAGCCCCTACTCAGCCATTAATTCACTGGGTGACTTAGGGCAAACTATTTTCTCTCGGACTCAAGTTTCCTCATTTGTAAATTGAGACAAAACTACATATGCTCCAAGTTCTCTTCTAAAAACCAAAATTTTTCAATTCTATGGTTACAATGCAAATCTTCCAGTCCAAGAATTGAAAATAAGTTTCTTTGAGTTAGAAATATTTTTAAATTACTGACATTTTGTTCATGCACTAAATAAAATCTTTTTATGTACAAAATTCTCTCACATACAATAGACATCTGACCACATGATCAGAAAGCATATAAATTACTTACAATTTAATATCCTCTAGAACATTTTTCGACTGTGCTGATCCAAGGAAACAAGCTGGAATGTTGGACATTCTGCAAGAAGAAAAGCAGATATTCTGGAATCCTGTCCCCACTACAAATATCAACTTCATTTTTAAATGAGAAGGAACAAAGAAATACAACGATGTACACTCTTCTTCTTTGCAATTTCTTTTTGTAACTCACTAATTTGATAACTAAATTCTTTCAAGGGCTGTATTAGAAGATGGGTGGTTAAGATGGGTTTTTCAAAAAGACTGCAAGCTCAGGTGAAAGAAATCTAAACTTTTTCATAACTGAAAAATATACCTTCATGTGTATACTTAAACAAAGCCAAAAAGGAAGGGTAACCAAAACAGAAATGAATTTTGAGATATGCAACGTAAAGTGGCATAAAATTTGCTTTTAAAAAAAGTTTTATCAGGGCCATCTGGTAGCCCTGTATTACAGCGAATTTAAGAAAGAAGATAAGCTCTCCCACTGAAGTGGCATTTATTGCTAATAAAGATACAGCAACACTTAAAGAAATATATTACTGGGAACTAGGTTTTAACATACGTGATAAATCAAATATTTCCTTCACAGGAGAAAAAAAAGTTGGGGGGGGGGTGATAACACGGCAACGAAAACATTACTCACTCAAGCTGGAGCACTTGGTCCTGCATCAAAGAAATAAGAGGAGAGATGACCAGGCCAATCCCGCCTGTATAAACAGGTGGATACTGGAAGCACAAACTTTTCCCATATCCTTAAAATAAAAATAATACACTCATAGAAATAAAACCAAGTCCTTGGTACTTTGATTTCTTCTTACAATGTACTTGTATGAGATGAATGGTCACTACTAATGTGCTATCTTCCTAAGAGATCATTCAAGCACATGTTTGACCATCTACCCTCAGTTCATTCTCTTCTATATTTTGTACCATTTGCATTTTGAGAGTTTAAGGAAATATTAAGCATCTCAAAACTTTTACATTTTATTTTTTAGAGCATTAGGTTATTTGCTTAAGTACAACTTACCAGTTGCCATGACAACAACGTTATCTCTTCTTTCTTCCAATACAGAATGAATCACTTTCCACTGAACCCTGGAGGATGAAAAGCAAAACGCTGTTCTGTTTTACTAACAAAAAACCCAAGGGACAAGTTGAAACCCATTTAAATTTTCCTCTAACAATTTCTTTTACATTTTTGAGCATCTATAAAAATGGATGAACCCTGGAACTTTAAAACAGAGGCCCATTTGACCAACCTCCCATTCAAGCTGACTGAACAACTAGGATTTCCATTCGTATATATATATTACATTTTATTATATTTATCTGAAGTATAAAATAAATTCCAAGATTCAGCCTAGATATCCAACAGAATCACCGATTTAAAATAAATAAGAGAAATGTTCTCAGGGAAAGGACAGATTGAAAAGGAAAATGAAGGAGCTTTGGGGAGTGACTGTAATGTTCCGTATTTTTAAAAAGAGTTTAGATTACATGAGTGTGTGCATGCACACTTAAGATTTGCAAATGTTAAATATGTAAGGTTTGGCCATTTTCCTGCATGTAAATTTTATATCAAAAGTAAAAATAAACAAATAAATCTTTAACTACAGTTAAAGATTCACATGCTGAAGTACTTGGGGGAAGTGTAATGTTGTCTACAATTTACTTTGAGGTGCATTTTAAAAACTGACTAGAGACATGATCAGTAAGTGATAAAGCAATTATAGTAAAATGTCAGTAGTGAATTAATGGTGAATGTATAGGAATTCATAGTAAAAAAAACTCTTGCAACTTCACTATATTTTTCAAATTGTTTTCAATAAAATATTGAGGGAAAAATCAATTAGAAAGGTGACCTTCTAGTATGTGGCTAATGATCTGTTCTTTTTTATCTAAGTTGCATAGGTTGCCTACTTCGTGAAAATTCATTGATCCATACATTTGCATTTTTCTATGCATAGGACGTAGTTTAACAAAAGAAAAAATGCTTAAGATCAAAAAGAAAAAGGAAAGAAATCCTTCCATGGATTAAATTTTAAACTTCCAGAATAGAACAAATAGTCTAGATTTTTTACATTCTTATTAGTTTTACTCAAATTTACTTTTCTTCATCTCATATTTATTCATATCATTTTAATACTTAACATGTGCCCCCTTAGATGTAAATACATTTGAATATGTTAAAACTGAGAAGACTATCACTGTTCTTCAAATTGTTGTCTTATGAATTTCTATTACATCATCATGCATTGGACAATAAGATGCACAAAACAGGCACACAGATACTTATTTAATAAACACAAGTCAGCATTAAATTAAGATTAATTAATGTATTTGAAGTAGTTTCTACCCAGAACTCTCAAGGGTAAAAAGAAAAAAAATTTTTTCTTCACTTATAAAAATAATCTGCAGATATGAATCTTACATAAGTATTACTTCAAAATAATTTTGCAGTCACTTAGAGGAAATACTGTGTGGTATGTATAAACTATACTGAAGCTGTGCTTTTACTATTAAATGAATGGATTATTTGCTTTTTTTCCTTGTGAAGAAAATAGTAAGTATGCAATTTAATTAACTAAGATTATACTCACGGCTTAAAACTGGAATGGCCAAAGTATGTCTTGAGGCAAACAACTTGCTCTGCAGTAGGTCCTGGTAACAAACAGTCTTAAAATAAAATGGGCATTCATATTAAAACAGAAGTACACAAGATGAGAAGGAGTAAGTTTTATTTCATTGACTTATTTTAAAGAATACAGTGGTAGGTACCAAAAGTTACTGTTCTGCCTTTTAAATTCACCCAATTTGGTCCTCTGGGTACCAGTCATGATTCTGGGTAAACTCTCTGATTAATTACCTAATACTAAAGATTAGAACTCTGTTGTGGGTCACATTTTGACAGCCTTTTAAAAAAAACCAGTTTTGGAATTTGCCATACTTCTAAAAACTAACATTTAAAGCCAACCATAGCAAGCAAAATACTATTCCAAATTTTATACAATAACCAACTTTCAATTAATAGTAAGCAGAAATTACATTATGGTCACAAATAAATTCTACAGATAAAACAAAATCTTCATTTTAATTACCACTCCACCATATCTCTAACCATAATTCCAACTGCATAGCAGAATGGAATTATGTTTGTATACTTTTCACCTAAAAATGCATTTTAAATCTTCCATATTATAACACTGACCAAAACTAGCTCTAGAGAGCGTTCTACTTCATGAGAACACACCCACAGCTTGTCATAATGAATACCATCATTTACACTTAAATGATAGAAGGTTGGTTTAGTGGATTCTCTACTAGAATTCACACACACAGGATGAAAATGTGTCCACTCTGCCATCTAACACTGTGCCATTTGTCCCAAGTAATAAGCTCTTGAAGGAGAGACACTATGTACCCATGCCATTTACAATAACGTCTAATAATATCAGTCATTAATTTGTGATTTCTTAATGATTTTTTTATGATTTTGACAAAGTATGAAATTCAGGATGAAAAGTTTCACATCACCATGCTTACCCAGTGACACAACACTTCCATTACTCTATTTTTATAAAAGTAAGATTGTGATTTATGAAGACCAAAAGCACTAACGGATCTGATAACAAGTGTTTAGGACCTAACTAACTACGTGCCACAAAGTTCCTGACCTCCCAAATGTTTAAACCTAGACGCTGAGTTAAAATCAGTGGTAGGTATCAGAGGTGAGTGACTGCACACATATTACAGTGCTTACCTTCATCAGCTTCTTCCTCTTCAATAGCTTCATTCTCATCTTCGTCATCTTCTTCAGAAGGAAGACCCAGATTTCTCTCCTTTTCCATGCATTTTGAATGAACTGGATCTACTGTGTCACTTTTTAGATTTTCTAAAGACTGAATGTTTAAAAGAAATTTTAAAAGCAAAATCACTGACAGTGTCGTATCTTTTTCAGCAAACACAAAAGGACTATTATTAACAGAGCCTACAATTTTGTTCAAAGCTGGCAGATGTGCAAGCAATACCACAAAAGAACATGTGTGCTCCAGTTTAAATATGTGCTCAAGAATGGTTTCTGAGGCACAAGGCCAAAGATGGAATACTTCCAGCATAAACAGGGTTCATTAATAGCATATAATGAACTGCCCCTAGGGGAAGTTATCATAAATTTTGAATTTAGATTATTTAAAACATTTTTTTCTTTATCATACTTCAATGTTTTCAATTCCCAAGCATTAAATGTAGGTTTTCATGTTATTTTTGTAAGGAGTTTCTCTATATCATCTTCCTTCTGAGTAAGCATAAGGTTTAAAGTATAAGAAAACAATAAATGTGTTTTGGGAACTGTCAAAACAACAACAAAAAGATTCAAATAATTTTAGGAAAGAAATATTACAAATGTGAAATGAAGTTTGTTTATTTTCATTTTGGCTTGACATCTGATTTCCTCCCTTAAATGAAAATTATCTATTTAAAAAATGTTAGGATATTTCCAAACTGTTCATCTGTAAAAAATTTTTACTGAGAAATTACAGGAAGAACCACTTAAACTACAGTTCTCATTTTCTCTTTTTATTAAACTTTCCACTTAATAAGTTTAACTTTAAAGGTTTTTTTTAAAAGTGTAATCATTTCGGGCCTAGAAAAGGAAAAAAAGTGCTTCTCTTTCTGATATTTTATTCAAGTCAGCAAATATACTTAAAAAAGCATTTTGGAAATAAAGTCCACTCATATGGGCATCCAGGCTGCCTTCTAAGAGGTTCAATACATAATATAGGTTTGTAGACATCCACACGTATCTTATAAATGCACTATTTTACCAGC